CGGCTCTGTACATCTGTATTATTAACAACAATTCAACTCTTTCAGACTCGAGTGTAGAATGTATATAACAATATGTAAATGTCGTAGCTACTTCGTGAAATCGATTTGTTCATGACGTGGAAACTTCTTTATCACACTTTGTGAAATACGAGAATATTTCATGAAATGGATATGAAATGACAGCTCCAATTTGATATCAATACATTATGTAATTTTTTTTTCACTTTAAAACGTTTACCATAATATGAAGTTAAAACTATAATTTATTTATCATGAGTTATTTTTTTTAAAGTCATATTATTTAATACCATACACGATTTTTTACATATATATATGTTTAAGTTCTACCTATAAAATACATAAAATAACCCAATAATATTATTTCATTAACTATAATAACAGGATTATTATTATTATTATTATTTATTTAATATCGGTAAAGATTACTAGGCCTCACTGAGTTAAACTCGTGTGGAGGCCTAGGAGTTATCTTATATACAACACATTTACATTTATCATTTTCTCCCTAAAGAGCTACTCAAATACATAAATAAAAAAAGAAAAAAACAATAACAGAAAAACAGTAATATAAGTTTGAACAGCTAATATATAAAAAAAATGAAAAAAAAAGGTAGACAATGGTAGTGTAAAAAACAAATTAATCCTGAAACTTCAATATTGTAGCATCGTATTCATGGTGAAGCCAATGGGTAATGTATTTTTCGAAAATAGAAAGAGACATATTAGCCACTTCTTTGGACATTATATTATGTATATGTGTCCCAACAAAATCATACACTTTACGACATCCAGCTTTTTTTGGAAATTTTAGCGAATAGTTATTAGTAGAATATCGAGTGTTGACTTTGTGATTTACAGGGGATAACAGGTTATGTTTTTTTAGGAAAATGGTACAGGTTTTTATATATAGCTTATTTATATTAAGTACATTAAATTCTTCATATAATTGTTTTGTAGGACATCTCCATTTTTTGTTTTATTTCATTAACTATGATAACAGGATTATTTTCACATTATTTTTTCGAATATGTTGTAGGTAGCACATTTTTGTTATGAAGTCTGAAGTATAGTCAAGTAATAAGTATCTACCTACCTACCAGTGTTTGGAAAGAACGTGAACGACGCTTATATTTTTAATGAAGTTGATCGATTTTTAAACCGTTCAATTTATTTACCATTTAAAAACGAATAAAGTAATGATTCTCCACTAAATTTTTATGTGACCATTTTCTATAATTTTCTATCACAAAATTTTCAATATGTTTCACTCTTTTTGAGATATTTATAGATACTTTCAATTTTAAATTTTCTAGTTTTCTATACATTTCGATGAAAACTTTTCACGTGATAAATAAGCACAACATTGTAATACAAAGTTCCTCATTAGTGGAAATTCATCTAGATCATGAAAATTTGAAAATTATTTTGTAATTAAAAATGTATAAAGTGGACAATAAAATAATAATTTTTGTTTCTCGGTCAAAATTTTCACACGCTATAAATTATTTTTTACTTAGCGTTTTGGCGTTTATACTAATTATACATAAAATATAAACCAATTGAATTATTCAACGAAAATATATATTTGTGCTAAATTAATACAATTAAAATATATTTAGTTAATTAAATACGAGAATATACAGAGGGATTTACCAGCATGCTCACCCTAGTTTTTTCCTTCTTTGATAATAAATGTATTGAAATTTTAAATATGCTCATAGACCATCATGTTATTTTAAATTGTTTAGATTTCTATACCGCATTTAAGAAGTGTCCCGTGTACACATTTATTTTTTTCAAATGAGACCAATATTTTTTACTGTTAATTGTTAGGCATATGATTTTTTTTTTATACCTATCACTTTGACTAATCATTAAACTTAACATTACAATAATTAATATTAATCACCTCTGCACGTTTTATAGCTTAGTCGGCTTATAGGTCTTTCCTTAGAGTGAAATTATATTCTCCTGAATTTCAAAACTATACCATCACACATAATATATTGTTGTAATAACAATGTCACTATTGCACTGTGTGATGTTTAATAGGTTCGATTATACAATAAAACGATATTGTGTTTCCCGCAATAAAATAAAATATTAACAATAATGATTTATTTTTCTCTTGATGTGCGTGCGAGGTGTGTGAGAAGAATTCAAAATAATATTCAATTGCGTATGACTGTCGTACCGTTTGACTTTTATTCGGACTCGGTACGGCCGTGGAATTATATAATATTATTATTTTATCAAGACCCTAAGGTGCTATTGCACACGCGTGGTCGGTTAGTCGTAATTTATCTATATAATTTAATACAGCAAAATCTCTCTCTAAATAGTGCGGACAAAATTTCGGTAACCGAGAGTGTCCGGTATTTAGAGGTTTCACTGTATATACATAAAAAATATTCGTCTCACATTAAATCACACGATCGACTTGTTGAATATTAAACATAATGTGATAGACAATATTGAATATACTCCTGCAAACATGTTATAATATAATATAGTACATTGTAGTGACATTTTATAAAAATCAAAACTCAAGTGACTATTGCACAGATGCGAATCATGAAGTATTTTTCGTGAAACTTTCAAAACGAATCATTTGAAAACAATCAAAACTTTTCGGATTACCACAGAGTTCAATAACGATTCGTTTAAAAACGTACGTTTTTAAAATAATAGTCAATGTGATGATGTGTAAAGAAACGGACAGAGGTTGCGATGATGTGGATAATTGTTCCTGTTTAATTCTATCGATATCTGCTATTATAACGCTGACCTAGAAGCGACGAATCGTCGTGATTTGTCCCATAGCTAAACGTGCAACTTGTTGACAAAAACAACAAAATCGACACGTCTTCGGCTTGGCCAACAAAACAAGATCATTATAGATGAAAACCATCATCTATACCGCGTATTCTCTATTTTACATTTTTACAGTTTATAAATTATAATACCTACGTACCTACACATACCTGACCAAGTAATTTGGCTGAGTGTCAGAATTTAGCGTACCTATATTATGTCCTTTATATACCTACCTACTACCAAACCCACGTGCCACTCAACAAATCTTTAGAGTATTTCCTTTTTAGACAGTGTGCCTTACATATACGTGTCTCGGAGTTGTATAATTTTCCATCGATTATCACTCCAATTATTTATTTAAAAAAAAAAAAAAAGAACTAATATAATATTTTAAATATAGGATAATAGTTGTATTCAAAAACACTATAGAACTATATATTTACCTGACCATATCAGTGAAGTATAATTGTTGTTGTTGTACTACGTAGCCACGTAGGTAGTATTATAAATTACTATAATATAATCATCCAACAATAATAGTAATAATAATATATTGTAACGTGATATCAATTTTAGAACGAATGTAAATGATTCAATATAATTACTTTAAATATCAAATATAATATACATATTATATTGTATATTATAACCACAAAAATAATGTTTGAAAAATTGTCAGGTAACACATTGTACATTATTTTACATAATATTTGTTAAGTTACTGAAAGTTTAAGTAAATTAAGTACCTACGCCCTTTTCAAGTCGTACATCAATAATTAGGGATGCACACTTGGCAGGAACGTTGCAGCTTTTTAAAAACTAGTGTTGAAACGCATTATATAAGCCTTTGCAGCTCGTTTAAACCAACTAAAACTATAATAAAATTCTCACTTTATCTACACATTCGTTAGGTTTAAAACAACTAAAACTATAGTAATATTCTCACTTTATCTACACATTCGTTCCTCTAAATCAAAGACAGCCATGTCAACATGATTTTTAATTCCATGACCATTATGGCATTGTACACCATTTTAACATTATACAGATAATATGACGTGTAACTCGAAAACGCGTTTGTATATGTTTTAAGAAGGCTTTAAAGTTCTACGACAAAGGCATGAACTTATAAATGTGTGGATTTCGTAGGAATAAAGACGTACTGAAAAAAAAAAACAATTATTATTTGATACAAAAGCAGCGAAAACAAACGAAAAAATATGCAAATAAATTACGAACATTGCATACAGTAAACAACAGGTAGGTGGTATATTTATTACAGACTACTTACTACGCATGTTTTCACTATCATTGAAATTCTATATTATTGAGGATATATTTTATGTATTTGACACCATTAAATAGTTTTAATATGGCCTTTGATATAAAACACAGTAAATTCAATACGACTATGCGGGTTTACTATAGTAGTTTAGAAAATGTTCACGTTATCATTGTACTGTAATTGCTAAAGTAGTAAAGTCAAACGATACTCACTAGCTGATTGCAAAACAAAAAAAACTCGGCCAATCCAATCATTAACCTCACGCATTATGTTTTATTAAAAACAAATTTAAAAACGTTAATATGAAACTGCAGAAACTGTACAATCTGTTGGTTGACTAATAATGTATAGCAAATTATTATTTGTTCTACCTATATGATAGTTGAGTGATTACTATAAAATATATTAAAGTACCTAAACAAATCTCAAGGAAGAAAATATTTCGAAATAACGTATGAATTGAATTAATTAATAGATCACCGTATAATGAGTAATAATGACTAATGACAATGTTCCTAAACTAACCATTATATTAAGTCATTAAATATATTATAGACAACCTGTAGCTGCAGACTGTGTGTTTCGTTCATTATTTTTATTTACAGAAAGTTCATAAATACTTAACGAGCGAAATATGCTCTTCTAGTAATTTATCTGTTTATTATGTATTTCACATGAATCGATTTCCATATTTAGATAGTTGAGTAAAAAAAAAAATAAATATATTATTATATATTTTTCTTTTAACTATTAAACTCTCTGCAATACTACGTGTCTTATCTAAACTTAAACAATATTAAAAATTATATAATAATATAAGCAATGCAAAGAGCGTATTTACTAATTTTGTCATTGTATTTTTTTTTTCTTAACCAGTATGAAGTCCTCAAGATTTTTGAACGAGTCTCAGGCGGCTCTGGTGAAACAATCATGGCCGATGATTGTTTCGAATGGTTTTTGGACTTCGTTTTATACCAAGTATATAAAAGTGGTACTTTCTAATTGTATTTTAAGTACACACACATAATTATGGATTTATATAACATATATACGTTTTTTTTTTTTCGAAGTCTGTTCAAGAGAAGTCCATCGTATCAATTACAATTCGATCGTTTCGCTCATGTTCCGTTTGAAGAGCTCGAGTCGAACGTTCACTTTTTGGCACACTCTTTCAGGACTGGATTTGCATTTAACGCAGCTATTGGACTCTTGGAAACACCCGACGAGTTGCACAAAATCTTAGTGGATTTGGGAGAAAAACATCGCAAATTTCGTCTCACGGCCGAACATTTCGAGGTAAATATTAATCAAAAAAAAAAAAAATCGTCTATAAACGTTTTGAGAAGAAAACATTACGGTTATTGGTTCGATTTTTTAATTTTGGTCATTATTAATTGAACACATTTTAATCTTTTGCTGACGATCGTGAAGTATATATTTAATAGAGTTAAAATATTAATAATCATAGTAATTTAAAAAATACTGTGAACTATACAACCTCATCTGCAGATGTATTGTACAAAATACATACAATTTTACTAAACGAAATAATCGATTGGGTATAGGTAATGTATAATTAATCGATAAATATGTTAATTAGTTTGTATTATGTATATTTATATGCATGACGGTTTTAAAAAATGATCCATAATAATCAACTGCAGTATAGGTACATGAGATATTGCTTATTGAATATTTATGTTACTATGATTATGTGTACGGTGTAAGTACCTAAATGTATTGTTTAAAAATAGTATATTTGCAATAAAAATATAAAACCAACAATTTTCTGAAAACCAAAGTAGGTATGACTCAATAAATTATAATGATATAGTTTACATAAGTACTCGTATGTTCATATCGATACTTCAACAAAGAAACGAGTAATTATATATGTATACAACACACTATAATCATTATTAAAACTGAATACTGCAGTGTGAAATGTGGAAGTATTAAAATGATTTACATATTTTATGTTAATTTCGTGCCACTATAGCGTAATAATAATAATAATATTATAAGCTGAATATATTTTCACTGGTCCGGTGATTAATTAATAATTCCAAACTCAGTTTGGTTATTCATGTGACGTGAATAGTTAATAGTAAATAATATTATTGTTATTATAAGCTACATAGTATAATATTACCAGATTTGTTTTTATTCCTATATCAGCAGCTCACTCTTTAGTCGTAAAGTAGACCGTATACGATTATCCAGGGTATAAACTTCGAGGAAGGTATATATAGGCTACAACCAAAGATTAAACAAATTGTTTTATTTGATCTGTGCTGCAACTGTAACTCTAAATTTAAGTCGAGATAACATTATTCGACCTTATACTATGTTATTGCTTTTAATATTTTGACGGTGTTGAGTAACACAACTTGAAAAGCCCGACAGGATACGATCGTAATACAATATTATAACGAAGCCTCATTATATTGATATTTATATATTATATAGCTTACAGAAGTGCTTCTCAAATACAATGGGTGTATCTAGGTGGGGGCGTAACCTATAGGGCGCTGTTTGTATATTTTAGGGGGAGGGGGCTTGAAATATTTGTATATATTTGTTTTATGTTACCTATTTTCAAATGATGCTTTTGTGAGGAGAAAAAAAATCATAATTGTTTTCGATTATCAAAATCGAATGGTCAGCCATTTAACAATAATAATACAAATTAATTATTATTTCATCGAAGAAGTTTCGCGTTAGGTAGACGTCATCGATTTTTATAATCCATCAAAGGCGAATTGAAAAACGTAATTTAATATATATATATATATATAGTTTAAAACAATTATTCGTTATTGTTTTAATGATTTCGATGGAAAAATAAAATCCACATCTCGGGGGGCCGTAACGACTCTGCTTTGAATTCAGAGGCCGCATTACGAAAAAACTTTGAGAAGCACTGGATTAGAAGACTAAAAACTGTGGATCGGAGTGACATTATAATAATAATAATATTTACAGTACCAGCTACGACCAAACCGTAATAAAAAAAAAAATCGATGAAATTTACGAAAGAAGATTCAGAAGTGTTTTCGTAAATTTTAGCGAGTCGTAGAAACGAGTGTAAATTACATAACTGTGTACTGTAACAACTCTATATTATAATCTATAAGGACGTGTCAAACGGTCTAACGGAAATCCGATCATGCAGCTCGATAGGTAGGTTGATTGGTATATACCTGGTTAGGTATATAATGTACTGCATACATATATATATACGTTTTAAATTATAAGCTATTTCACGACTATATAATATTATAATAGACACTCGAGCGCGTAAATGTATATATTGCGGTCGGGACTGTTTCGGAAAGGACGTCCGTATGATAATTGAATGTGTATTGCGTACATTCATATTATAATATAATATAATGTAATACAATAGGTTCCGATTTTTTTCATCGACAGTTTTGATTCTCTCCGTGTCGCTCTACATAATAATAATAGGCACGATATTATTATATTCTCGGATTTCGTATTTTATGGCCGTACGACTATATTATGGAAACGTGTCGTACCGGATGATTCTTTCAACTGCGCAGTTAACTAGAAGTTTTTCAAAACCTATTTTTCTTTTTTTTTATTTCATTACAAATCGATAAAACCATTGTACCTATATAGCATAAAGAAATACAATTTCGAACCAGTTGTGGCTAACTAGTTGTAAATTTTAATCGGAAATTAAAAACCATTTTCAATGAACAAAATCGTTGTCAACGGGAAAACGACTGTGCTGTTCGAGTGATATAAAATAATCACCTTTGATGTATTAAAATAATAAACTATCATGTACATATTTTGTACACCGTATCGTAGAATAACGTATCGTTTTAGGAAAAATATTTTTAATTGAGTATATATTGCTATGGTAACAAATTGAAAATACGAAAAAAAATATAGTCACTACTATTATACAAAAAAATCCCCCCCCCCCCCGGGTCAACAAAATTTATTATATTCTCATGTATCGCGTTATGTGTACAAACAGACTTGCCCCTCACTCCCCCCTCCCCAATACAAGTGACCGCTAAACGTCTGCGATTTATATCGTAGGTACTTACGTTAAAAACGTCATAAACTCGTGTCTCGTAATAATAATATAAATTGTCGTCGTCATAATATATTTGCGTGCCGTTTGTGTTTTGCAGGTCGTCAAAGACGAGGACCTATATAGTATATAGAAATACAATTTCGAACCAGTTGTAGCTAATGGGTTGTAAATTTTAATTAAAATTAAAAACCATTTTCGACAAAAAAATATTTGTTACCGGGAAAATGACTGTGCTATAAAAGAATCACCTTTAATAAATTAAAATAATAAACTATACCATGTACATTTGTACACTGTATCGTAAAGTAACGCATCATTTTCGGAAATACGAATAAAATATTATTAATATCTATTAATATAAATAAACATTCATATCATTGTAGGTACTTCATAGCAAACATCATACAGTGGCGGCTCCTGGGCTTAAATTTGGGAGGGGCATCACAGGGGGTGAAAGTACAAAAAGTACAAACATTGGCTAAACATAGTGTATAAAACAAAGGGAAACGGCAATGCCCCCTTAACCCCTCCCCCCCTCCACCACTGGCGTCATAAACTCGTGTCTGTTAATAATTGCAGTCGTCGTCATAATTAGGGCTCGGATTTCAATGCATTTGCATCTTTTTTTGGGATATCTTACGCGATGCTTTCCAAGCTACAAACATGTTTCAAGTACTTCGCAATCTAACCATAATAATTTTTTGGGGCATTTTTTTGCTTTTTTAGCGGATTTCATCATTTTTAGGGCATTTTTTGACGGTTTTAATGCATTTTTTAATTTTTTAGGACATTTTTGACCTATTTGTCGTATTATGACTAAAAAAATTGACCTCATTGAAATATAAGTACTACGTAATAAAAATTATTTTCATTTTGAACTATTTTCTGACTATTTACCGTCGATCATTTAAATTCCAAAACATTAAAGAAATTCTTATAGTACAATGCAATGCAAATATAATTTAATTTTTAATTTTAATTTTTTTTTGTAAATTGTAATATAATTTATTAATTTATAATTTTTATTATAATTTTATTTGTTCCTCATTTTTTAATAATAATTAAATTTGAATTTATTTAATAAATAATGCATTTTTTGAAACGTCATTTTTTTTGATATTATTAGGGCATTTTTTAGAGTTTTTAGGTCATAAATGCATTTTTTGAAAGGGCATTTTTTTGATATTTTTAGGGCATTTAAATCCGAGCCCTAGTCATAATATATATATTTTCGTGCCGTTTGTGTGTTTTGCAGGTCGTCAAAGACGTACTGACGTCTATGATCGAGGACCGATTGCCGGCTATAGACGGACCTGACAGAGTCGAGCTTCTGGCGGAGGCGTGGAAGCCGTGCATAACCTTGGTGATCGGAGTGATCATGGATTCGGCGACCGCGACCACGGTTAATTAAACGGCGATTTACACGACGACGTTATAATAGACGTTTACCGACACGCAGTACCACGCGAACACTGCGCGTCTTAAACGGCATAATAAACAGTAACACATTTATACATATATATACACTATACAATATATATATCGCATTGTTTTATCATTATTATTATGTATCTGTCTAACCTGAATCGACATCCCGGCAGACGACCCAATTTCGGGACTATACTCGTCGCACACCGTGACCGTCAGCCCAATGCCTATATAATAATAATAATATATTATTATAATTACGTATACCGCTCGAATAATTAACCGACTAATTACCGTTTAAATGCCAATCACGACATCATCGTCGTCGTATCGTTTCGGCATGACTGGCAACGGCGCACTATTACCATATGCCGTTGCAGGAAAGGGCGTAGGTATACCGATTTAATGTGTATACAGGTAGGTATATACCTATTTAATTTAGGTATAGTAGGTATGTCTAAATGTGAAAAAAAAACCGATGTGTACACACAATAAATGTGTATATGTAATGTAAACATCATTTCGACGGGAAGAGCTGCGCACACAATATTATTATAGGTACCTACCTACCTGCTATAATATTACTATACTTTACTGTACTAACATCTTATATTATACAGGCTGATTCGCCGAGCACGCCCACCCCCGATTTGTCCGTAGATTATACAGTGCAGCATTTGGTCACATTCTGATTTTGAAATATTCTAGCATGATAGGTACCTACTATTATTGTAAAGACGATATATATTTTCAAATCAATATTAAGCTTATTTTTCATTTAAAGAGTATGTATATACCTATACCTATATCTTGTGGCGATAAAAACTTGTTATTTTGAAACCAAGATCTCCATTGTTTATCAAAAAAATTGTCGAACAGATGATTATTTTTAAAATAACGAGATAATGCCTAAATTGAAATCCAAATAAGCATTCGAAGCTTCACTGTTATCCATTGACTATAATAATTGTACATTATATACTTGTATAAATAGGATAGTAATATAATAATATTTATTATTGTGATTTGAAAATTATAAAAACCAATATTAATCTATTAGTACGAGTACATATTTTATCATTTATACGAATTATTGTCCTAGACTGTATTGAATACTAGCCTATAGTACATCATAATCAGTGTTGAGTTTATCTAGATAAATTTATCTAGATAAATTATCTAGATAAATATTCTTTTATCTTTTATCTTATCTAGATAAATAGAGAATATTAATTAACACAGTTATCTAAGATAAAAATCACCATTATCTAGATGAATTTATCTAGATAATTTAATTTATTAAACGGGTTTTATTTATCATAGCCTATAGGTAGACAATTATAAGTAATAAGTAGGTCGTATTTACTAATAACTAATAACTATTGACATTTTCGATAACATACTATTAAGTTATTCTACATTGCTACGACCGTTACGAGTTTTTGTTTGTATGTTTTCGTAGTATTTAATAATTAATATTATGTTATATCATAAATCATAATGCTGGTACCTATATTATATAAACATATTATAATAAAACATTTATAATTAAAATCTATAAAGCAAAATATACATCTATACCGAGAAATAAAACCCACCAGACGGCACTACGTCAGTCCAGAATAACATATAAAAATAACTCAAAATAATTTGATTGTACAAAAATGACATATTAATATTATTATCATTGGTTATAAAATATACAATAATAGACATACTATTTATTAATAATTATCAACGATATTAAGATCGTGTGATGCTTGATCAATTTAAAGTTGTCAAGCAAGTTTTCCTTAAGTTTAATACAACGCTACCATCATCAGCTCCAGTTGAACGGCTATTTAGTGGGGCCATACAGGTTTTAACTCCAAGACGTAACCGATTAAAAGACAGCACATTTGAAATGCTCTTATGTTGCAGATCTCAAAAATGATCTATTATTATTTTTCCTATATACATTTAAAACTTTTTATATTTTTATTTTGCCACAATATGCCAAGATGGCCGAATTTTTTCAAAATTTGTTAATAGGTATAATTTTATATTCATTTCAGTTATTAATAAACGAGTGTTGTCAACTGGAACTTCTCAACCATTATTTACATTAATAATAATATGAAATATGATTATTAATTACAATAAAATATTTATTTATTTATTTTTAATATATTTACAATCTATACAGATTACAGACTAGGTTGGCCACAATAAAATGTACATAAATTATTATGTCTTATATTTTATAAGAAATGAGTGCCATAAACCAATAGAAAAAAAATTTATCCGATAATTTATCTAGATAAAATAATTTTTTTTCATCTTTATCTAGATAAATAAATAATTTTGTCATCTTTATCTTTATCTAGATAACATTATTATAATTTATCTTTATCTTTATCTAGATAAAATTATATTTATCTCGGCTCAACACTGAATTCATAATACATCTATTTTAATATTTTATGCATAACCATAGCCCCGTATATCTTCAAAACGTGTTATCATTAACCTTATAACACACAATCTTCGTAAGATTTAAAACTCTGAAAACACTCGTTCATATATCGATATAAATACTTATACAATCATTTTCAAAAAAAAAATCATATAAATAAAAGTATTCGGTCAAAAAGAAAATAATTTACTTACACGGGACTCCAATTGATATTAGCACCGAAATAATATAGTATACCCCTAATAGTGTTTGAAAATATCATCTTATAATATAGTTTCTTATAATAGTCTACTATAAAAGATTCCAAAAATCAGAACTTTTATGGATGTCACTGCAGACTATCATTATAGTCGAAGCACTGAAGGAGGGCGATCGTCGTGATTTGCACGTCACGACTCACGACTATAGTATTATATAAATCACCCATTATTATTGTGATAAAATGTCGTTTCGTATGATGACAAACCGAATAATATAAAATACAATAATATGCATTATGTGTGTGTGTCGTTGTAAAACCAAGCACTGTCTGTACAACAAGGTCACCATCAGAAGCGGCGGAGTCGGATAACTGTACAGGAACCCGTTCGCAAAACCATCACTGGCCCATACACTTTATAATGTATAGACGTATGGTATTATATTATTATTATACTATTTATATTATTACTATTATTATTATACTCGATACGTGCCCCGCTGAAACTCTAGATTTTTTTTTTATAACAATATTATTACGTGTAAATATTATACTCACGCGTCGTCCGTACACTGTTACAATATATTATAATAACGATAATGACGATTATATACGAAACGTATTATGAAAACCCAACACGTATACACCTACTGTATAGTTGTTACATACAGGGTGGTTAGGTTTGTCCTCACCCTGGTGACCACACGATATAGTCGCCTACTATAAGGTCGCCGACTATTATAATTAGAGGGCGGATATTTAGGTTTTTACATATTTTCATTGGCTCTATGCAGCTTTGCGGGGGTGAAAAATGTGGATGTGATAACAGAGTCAGTGGGAAAAAAAATTATTTTGCATATTAAAGCGTATTTTGGACATTAGAGAATATTTGGCCTATCTTACATATTTTAGAATATATTCTATTATTGTTCATGAAACATCATGTGTATTGTTAAGTTCTCGAATTTTTTCTAGGCCCTTAAAACGTGCATCTTGCTATATAGTTTTATATTTTATTTTACTATATTTCAATGTAAACGGGCTCCGTTTGATCCCATACAAAGGACGTATGTCGCGTGTATATATTATGTGGACAACGTCACGAGAAATATTTAACTGTCTAACCACATAAACGATGGAAAAAATCAAAAGGTAAGAGACGGGTCCTCGTCGTCCAGCTGGTGCATGAGACGTGTGTAAGGGGAGTGTTTTTCGGATATTAGATATATTATAGAATATAATACAGTATGGGTATGCCGATAAGGCCATTTTGCATTTTTAATGATTCACAAAAACGAGTAATGTTCACCGTTTAAATAGGTACCTATAGGTACTTGGATAAATTGACTGAAATTCGCCAACGAAACTCGAAAATAACGATTTAGCTCTTTTTATTTTGCCCCAAATATATATTGCAATGTCGGTGACGATAATAATTATACATTATTTTAACATTAATATATATACCTGGAAATGTCGAACCTGTACTCAGTGGCGCCCAGACAGGTTAGCAAGTATGCAGCTGCATGTGCTCTCGAAGGGGGTAGGTGTAAATTACTGGTGTCCCAGGGTAGTTTATAAATGTATAATAATAAAAACTATGGTCTATAATAATCAATGTCAGTGATAATAAAATGTAACTGTTTTAACCGCATGATGCGCTCTCAAAATACCTCTGTGCGCCACTGTCTGTACTTTGAGGATAAACACCCTGTATACGATAAACCTACCTAATGTAAATATCGTATTATATTAATAACACAAATGCGCGTCCAATGAACTTATTGAGAACGCCAACGATCATAATAGTAATATAATACGAAATAAAATCGTATATGCGCTCATGTAATACTTTTTACACTCCGTACACCCACATGTCGAGAATGGCATCTAGCACGGACACGTCGATAATTAGCTTAATTTTTCCTATCTGTATACCCATCTGCGGACGTAATGTAATAGCAGCACACGGAAAAAGGATGAAAACATTCGGTCGACATAACATTTTATACATATTTTATTCGGACAGTTTTTCAGTAGGTAGTTAAATCTCGCGCGGAGTCGATGACCAGAAAGATAAAAAAAAAGATTATTATATTATATATGTATGCGATTATGTGTAGGTACAATATTATGAACATGTACCTTCACAACATGACATATATCTACCTAATTGATATATCAAAAAAAAAACCTAACCTATGTAGGTAGTAGGTATACATAGGCATTATTTTTTTTATTAAACATAAATACCACAGGAGCTCTGGTCGTTGGTCTGACAGTAACGTGTTATAACATAATATTAGGGTATTTCAAATACATACATATA